CATTTGACCTTATATGGGGACAATCAATAAAGTTGCCATCACATATGTAACACAATTCAATGAACAATCTAAAAACATATCACTGAAAAAACAAACATACTAATATACGACAAGTAATGAACAGAAATCTAAGAATCTTTAGACAAATAATAACCTTTGAAATAATGAAACAAAGAAAAATTAGTCACATCAACACTCACCTTAAATATTGAGTAAACTGGTCATCTATCTCAACTTCACAATCCCATTTATCATCCCATACTTGCAGATCCGAAATCTCTTCCTCTGATGCTGTCCAAGCTAATTTAAACGAAATAGAAACATGACATATAAATACTTTCAATCCAATGGACACAAATATAATCACATCCTATTTCATTGTAAATAACTCTATAGGTTTATTATAGGAAGAAATCTTTGACTTAGTCAATACTATGGACACCTAACTAGTTGATGTTCGTATTTTGCTTCACATAACTTCGTAATCATAATACCGTCTTCACAGATAGTTTTGTGTTTTAGTTTGCCGAATCTGACGCATTACTCGGTCATGTAGTTGAAGCCTCGATAAGGAATCAACAGAACTATACTAGAGGTTAAATAAACACTCAAAACGCCTAATATAAAAGTTTCCTCGTCTATTCAATGTTTTCGCACCTTAAATTGCTTTTTATTTTTATAAATACTAATAATTTATTCAGTACACATCTTATTCTTAGTGTAAAACATGTCAATGGGCAGGATGTATGCATATTTATTACAAGTTACAAGTACTTACATAGTACACATACATAGCCGTCAATCGTCCATTTGCAACTTTCGGTGTGTTATGTCAACGTTGTGCTTTCAGTACACTGAAAGTCTTCGCTATGCCTGACAACTGTTACAACTTGGACGCCACGTTCCGCTACACACTACTTACAAACATCCTTGTGAATAGCATCCACTACACTATAATCGTTAAGTTGTATATATAGCATACTTCAAAATGCTTTTCTTTTTAAACCAGTATCCGTTACAAAGAAATAATAAATATGTTAAGTTCGTTAAATTTACTTATATGACACTCGGGAAAAAATTTGCTAATAATCATAATTAAAAAGTACAACATACTTTCTTTTTCGAATTCCTCAAATTCTTTGTCATCTTTTAAAATACCCAAAGCTTCTTCAACTTGTTCAGGATCCTGCAAATGTTCACTCGACTAAATCGAAACAGTATTTGTGAAGAAAAAAAAGTAACAAATAGAATATGAAATCAAAGGGAAAAGATCTCTCAAAATATGTTGAAGTATTTATACAGTAGAACTCTTCATGAGTATTTTTAGGAATATCTCAATATATGATACATAAATGACAATCTTATTCATTCAATAATAGGTTAGTTATAGTAAAATGGTCTGTAATATGGTAAATCAATTGACCAATTTTAATATTCATGCCCTTAATACACCACAACAGAATTTTTAACTGAATAAAACATGAGTTCTTAAAATATACGACTGACAACGGTCAATAAAAGGCTGTTTGTTTTAACTCAGTAAATGAACAAGACGTATACTGTTTTTAAATTTCAGTAGAGACTACACCCGCTAAGGATGTTAACATACCCAGTTGACGAATTCCAAACAGGACGAAACACATGTTTTGACTATTCAGCAATCGGTCACAAAATTTACGGAGCAGTCAACTAGTATGAAAGTAAAGAAATAATGGTATAAGTATAGTGTACCGACGGCCTTGAGTTTACCAACCTAAATTAAGATGACATCTCAATTGTTTTGCGTAAAGTTAAAAGTGCGGTGATAAATAACGTGTACGTTAATACTAACCTAGTGGAAAATGACGATATTTGGTTTTTGGAGTGTTTTAAATCAATAAAAATACGCATTACGCAACGATAACGTAAATCTTAGGTGGTGTTTATGCTAAATTACATGACGAATCTACTCTAAGGAAGATTGTGTCAAAATAGTTACGTCATCGATTGTGTAGCCAAAAACGTTTGGTGACGCTAAGTAATGTTTCCTTTTCATACTCACTCTAAATCCCAGACCTAAGTTTCTCAAATTTGCAAACAAAAGGGTGACAAAGCATTGGATCATAGCTAACGTCAGTTTATGATGAAAATCTTAATCTCAGAACTCCAGCTTCACTCTTAATACGTCATCCTGACCTTCATGCATTATCACCGGTGTCAATTGTTGACAAAAACTCTATGGAGTGATAGCCTTGAATTATAACATTAATCCGATTCGTAATATGCAAAACCTAACCTTTTCCATTTACTACGAAGAATAATTTGGCATCTGAAGGTTGATTATTGAGATCAAAGCTATTATTTCACTGTTATAGTTTTTTTCTCTTTGCTGTCAATTGTTTTGTATCTAGGCAGCGTTTCCTGATTGCCTGATAAATCCCTCCAAGTTGTTAGTATATTATACGTTTACTGAAATTAAAACTTAGTATATCTAAAAAAGGTCACAACTAAACACTATGACGAGTGAAGATGAAAGAATTCGGAAGATATGTTAAGTGTAGTCTAGGATGAAGCAATACCACACAAAATAAGTACGCTGGTAATGTTCACTATTCAGCTGAAGACGAGAAAAACACAAAGAAACTGAGAATTTGAAAACCAATGATAAAATAAATTAATATGATAAACAGCTAAATATAAACTACTCTTAAAATAACGGACAGTATTTATATAGTCATTTTTAGCTATTAGTACATAACGTGACTAGGTTCAACGCTTATTATTAGAGTAAAATGATACATGATACAAATATCTAGAATGCCTACTAATCATATGGTTATTTTCATGATCAAAATCAACTCCGTCAGTACGGAAATTGCAAACACGTAGCAACATTTAATATATCCTTACAGCTCAAAGTCATTGGAATGTAGGGAAGATGTACTGAATGTCGGTGATGAAATATAAGTGTTTTAAAAAAATTTCGGCAGTTTCGTATGCAATTATAAATTCTTGTAACATTTTGAAACCTAATTTAGCTAAATGACCTATCAGATTAATTTTAAATTACAATATAATCAGTGGCCTTATTACATTTATTCAATCAGTCATAGTCAACACAGAGACTAGCACAAATGTGCGTTAGCCCAATTTGTTATATCACATCAGTACGAGAAGAAAAACAAGAGTTAAACTAATAATAGTATCATTGGTAATGCGAAAGACTAAATATTACTTGAAAAGGTATATATATATATATATATATATATATATATAGGTATAAAGAAGCTCAAATTCTAGATGAAGACAAAGAGTGGATGAATGCTTAACACTGTGATAACCGATTCCGAGTTATAATAGCCATTATCTTTAACCACTGATCGTGAGGGCTCCAATCAATTAATCTGCGTTCACTAACACGAGTCACATCTACTAGACCATATATAATTACTCTTATTCAGCTAAAATCTACATACACAAATCGAAATTAGTTTGATAATTACATTGTGTGATTCTTACGTCACTTGAGACAATCAACCAAATAACGATAACACGGTGAATCTACCTCACTCTTAATTATTTTCAAAAACTTATTTCATATGCTTATTAGAACATTGTATAGAACAATCGTGCATACAACCAACAATACAACGCTGAATATCAATGAAGAGAAATGATAGAGAAGATATACAGCTCAGGTGATTGTTTTTGATAGTTTTTGTTCATCATCAGGGCCTATTTCGTGAAAGCGCTAATGTTGTTCAAGAAAATACTGAACGCTCCCCAACTAGACAACCTGGCCTAGAGAATATGATACCAGCAAAAACAAAATCATTCCACAGATTTACAGAACTTCAGAAATCTAAGTGTTGATAAACAGTTGTTTGTCTACCTTCAAGACTCTAGACACACCTTTAGGTATTAATACTAAACCTGACAATTTCAAATGAACTCGACAGTGAATAGAATGTTCACAGTAAAATGATGATATAGTTATGATATCCCAATGAGTAGTTTTACTACTTACACTAGGTCACGAAATATCAAAAATTCAAATTTCTACTCATTGGGATATTACAAAATATAACATCATTTTGATATTAAGGGTTGAGCCCCCAAATGCCCTGGTACGGCCGAGAGTGGGGAGAGTCCGCTCTCCCTCTCGAAATGCTCTCACATGGCCACGCGTATACAGCATCTGCCAGAGAAGTCCTACTCTCTGCCTTCTCGTGGAGGGGGTGATGTTTACGAAATTGAGAGGACGAAAAGCGAATGTCCGGCGCTGTAACCGTATTCCAAACCAATGGTGCACATAGGCTCCAGTATCCTGCGGGAAAAAATGGCGTATGAACCAATTGTTGGTCACCGGCTTCCATGGGACTGCATCTCCTGACGATGCTCCACTGCCTTGTGGATCAGACCTTCAGGTCGAAGGCTCGGGGTGTGGCCCCCTAAGAAAACCACCTGCTTCAGTTTGGGCACCCGGGCAGTATCACAGCCCTCACAAATATCGAATGAGATTTGTGTGGCGCATATGTATTTGGTGCCTCCTTGTACCAATGTCTATGTGTTAAAATAAAATAAAATAAAATTAAGGGTTGAACTAGTTTGTTTTTTTTTGCTGTCAATAGATGTATATTTCTAGTTTTCAACAAACTATATCTATCTTGTTAATTTGGTTTCCTAGTTGAGAAGTATGAAATGAAATGATTAACATCATAAAGTATATGCTTGTCCAGTGCTTCCAGGCTTTCCATAGTGGTCTAGCTTCAATTGATCGCAACTATTGAAATTATTACAATCTCCACAATAACCCTGTACTTAGCAAACATCACAAGGTATGTATAATATCGAAGTTGTATTAGATCAAATGACAGAATTATTTGTTGAAGGATTACTCTTACAGAAATAATCCATTTAGGTATAACTACGAAACAATCAGATTAACTATACATGCAAGTACTATATATAGATTATTGTAATTAATAATAATAATATTAATAATAGAATAAGAAGACAAATTGTGGTAAGATAAATATATTTGAAAGATGAATTTTTAATTTATATTTGAAAATATTTTACAAAAATAAATTATGTACATTAATTAATAATTGTACAACAGATATGTTTATAAACCAAGTCTACTGCCAGGACGTTTAGACACCAAAGGAGTACCAGGAGTGCGCATACCAGGTGTAATTATTGGTCGCCTGTAGAAAAGAGAGATAAAAAGAAAGTGGAGGAAAATATTTTAAGCTTTTTTCTTTACAAAAATCACGTGAAACTCATATACAATAGAGACAACAAAAGGTTTTTGATACAAGGTAAAATAACACTTTTGAAGGCATGGGAAGGGAGGGAGAGGATAAGCGAAAAATACTTCAGCGAGAGGTAGTTGCTGGTGTAGAATCAAGTTGGGAAAAAACGTTGTAAAGCAGCCAAACTAAATCGTAGCATTACTACATGAAGTTGTTAACTGTTGAACTGAGCCGTGTAGTTGGATAAAGATTACCTTGTAAGAGTTCGCTCGATTATCGTAACTAATGACTGAAAACATCGAGTGGAATAGCTTACAATCAGTCGCAATGACGCAGATGTATTCACTCTTTATCTATCCTTAGATTTTAGGTGTTAAAATTATCATACGCTTTTTATTACACCAATACTCATCAATGGGTATATACAGCTACGACTTCCCAGCGTTTATTAATACACAGTGATGATATTGAAATGGTAGGTAGGTTGACGGTAGATAATCAGCACCAAGGGACTAGACAAAGGTAATATTGGTCACCATTTAGTGACCAATCAATTGTAAATATCTCAGTTCTACAAGAGGTCAGCTGAGGGGCGATTACCTTAGTGGCAACGTCTCAATCTGTAAAGCTGAGTGACGTGGTTTCTAAGTTCACATGGAGCATTAAATCCCACAAGATTGCACGTATTCCTTAATGAGGACGAATCCCAATAAGTACAAGACCAAGGTTTAAGGTGTCCTGTCAACTACGTTCAACCATTTAGCTTTTTAAAAAATAGTACACCCGAAGTCGAGTCAGTCAAACTAGTAGCTGCATTACAAATTGACCGATAAAATCCAACCAGATTACATTGGTCACTACTCTTTAGTCGATTAAATGCAGAGTGACTATTTAGGATAACTGGAAAAAAATAAATATTGAAACAAGATTATCCTAAACAAGAATGAACAGATGGTTTACTTACAAACGACTTGAACCAATAGATGCTGAAAGTTCTTCACGTCGACGAGAAAGCTGTTCTTCAGCCAGACGCATTTCATTTTCCATTTCTACGAGTTGTTCTTCAGCTTGTCGCTTTCGTTCCAACCGAGTAAGGTTAGGATCTTTAACACTGAAAAATAATTGAAAAAAGTGTATTGAGTGAATGTGTTACATATAGCATAACATTAGCAATAAATTGTACCAGGTGAATAAGACTAACTGAATAGTAGTTGGACTGGGATTGTGTTGTAACCCTATTAGAAATAAGGGTGTGCATAAACATTAGATCAACTATAATATGAAAACATACTAATTATACAAGGTATTATTTTCATTGTAGCCACAAAGTAAAGCTTTAACAGAGAATGGGAAACTAAGGGTAGGGAACGACAAAAAAGTTCACCCTTGTTATGTAGGGAATATTGTTCATTAAATTAAAAAAATTTTACGACTAAACCATAAAATGAGATCAAAAGAGAACCAGTTTTGCAAATTATATTAAAGGATACGTCGGAATCCGGATGTCGTGTCCACTACTCTTTGCAGAATCAATGATTTAAATGACTTAATTTAACTTGTACTTATGCCACGCTGGTAGGTACTCCCGAATGCGAAGTGGTCTCGAGGAAAGACCAACATACCTAGCTGAGTTAGAACAAGATAACTAGTGTATGCACATTGAATTTGTCAGTCTTGGCAACTTATCTTACACATAAAGGCGCATATAAAAGGGGAGCTGTGTCATTTTATGCTATCAGTTCAACTGCGCCTGCGAAGCTAGCTATGCAGGTCATCCATCGAGGTCACTCATTCGTATTCGGAAGCATTTAATAGTGTGGATTAGTAAAGGTCAGAAAAGCCAATTACGTTATCAGTTTTGCAACGAAGAATAGTTTTATTACAATATATTCTACATGGCGTAATAACTGTATTCATATCACCTTGACACTCCTACTTCTATTCTTATACTGATAACCATCGAATCACTTTACAATGCACACAATAAAATATGAATTTATAGCATCCAATAGGGGTTTGCCTTAGCTAGATAACGCTTGAAGAGCAGGAAGCACCAGAAAGTTATTTCGATTCCAGGTAGGGTCGTACGTATATCCTGCTGAAGGAACCCTTAGCAAGACGAAACAACTGTTCAGTGAGTTCTGGTTTTTAAAGGCTATCTGACTAAGGTCAATCCATGTTGTACACTATGAAGCTCAACAATCTCCACAAACTTCTCATGCTACAAATACGATTTTAGCCACATACTGATCGAAAAACAAAAACATTAGGAAATGTCAATTTAATTTACCTGTAAAACATAGGACCAACTTTAGCTAGCCAATTACCATCGACAGATGTAACACATTGCATATATTCTTTTGTTGTCATAATTAATTCATGATAAATAACATAGTCTGGAGTGTAACCCATTCCATATAGAGCACTAGTTGGATGTAGATGACAAGGCATACCAGTCCGTAAATTCACATATTCACCTAAACCCTGAAAAATTGATTTTGTTTACATAAAAACTTTTGTGTCATGAAAAGTACTGAAGAAATTTATTAATCATCATGTGAGTAAGAAACTCATTAGATTATACATCATGATTAATCACGATAATTAGCAAGAGTTGTGTTGATCAAAGATTTATCTTACTATTTGGAGTAGTATTAGGCATCAAGAAGCACCGAACAGCTAATTCATCCTGTTATGGGACAATTCACCAGTAGGTATCCACGACCCTACTAGTCTTACGACTGACACTTAATTATTAGAACCACTGAGTTGAATTCCAATCTGTTTGCCACACAACGACATGTCATTGGTGAAAACAGTTTTAATCTCTACATATTTGGACTTCATCAGTCATGACATACATTACTTAACCAAAAAAAGAAAAAAAACTGAGAGAAATCAATCTTGCACTATTTACCATCTTTTAGTAACTAAAGCCTTAGCGTCATTTTCGATGAGAATTCTTCCTCAACATAATGAGGAACGTCCATTGCTGAAACTCTGCAGAAATTTTGGATACAGTGTAATGAGCTTCAAGTAAACATTTAATTAACACGTTAAAAGTAGAAAAACTCGAAGAACAAGTTGATGAATAGGTTCGTTCAGAGGTTTATTCGTAAATTTACTCAACAATGTGGGAATAACTTAACAAAAAAAATTAAATAATAATCTGAGGTGGCAACCAGGAATTAAATATTCAATGTGATACGGGTATATTATATGAACAAAGAAAAACATTGACCCGGGAATGAAATTATTGTCTATAAATTGAGTCCTAAATATGTCCAACACAACCGCTCGTTAAATCTCTTCCCGACAAACTTTATTTTCTCGTTATAAAAACTCGACAGTTATGATCTCTGTTCTTGTGTTATCTAAATCAAAGCATACTCCTGGCAATTTTATTACAAACTAATCCATATGTATATGGATTCGCCATACTACAGCTCAAAATCTATATGCAGAAAAGAGTAGTCTAAAGATGCTATGCATTGATCACCTTAATTTGAAATTAATTTATAAAATATCTAGGTTATTTTAAACTACACTAAATAAAATGATGATAAGAAGTTAGTTGTCCTCATGAAAGGATAGCAGTTGGAAAACAAGACAGTAGTCGACGATAAATATTTCGTACTAGTTTTTGACCAGATTCTTAACAATATATCAATACCAATTCGAAACAGAATAGAACTTGTGAAATTCTGATCATAAACAGAACACGGTAATCCATATGTGTTCAGTTTCAGTGGATTTATGAAATAGTGAGAAAACAAGTTCACTGATTGATTCTCGGTTCAGCCATGAGAATATGCTCAGCAAAAGTATTATAAATTAGGATGCAACATGTAAATTCGATGTTCCTTGGCTTTTAATGGTTCATCAGGTAATCTCCAAAAACATTGTTTGAAACACTGTGATTGATTACTTAAGTGTTACAGGAGCCCCGAATTTACATAATCACTGCCAGTTCACTAATTTATACAAAGCAATATAACCGTTTAAAATTTTTCAAATAGGTTTATATGGGATTCGACTAAAAGAATTCTTCACCGGTAGAAATATGTGAAAAAAAAGAAACATTAAAGTCAATATCCCACTTCTTTAAAATCAAGTGATCATTCCACAAGAAAATATAAAAGATGTAATTTAGACTTTACCTTGATACGAGCAGCTTGATGGAAGAAAGTAGCACACAAGCATTCACGCACAACATCCCAATCACTGCCGATCGATTGTAAATTCATGTTGTGTTGTTCCATTATTTCTTTCATTTGTTGTCGAACCTCACGAATTTTACGCATAGCTTTTAAGTGTAAAAAGTGTTTTGCACAAAATGCTGATGAATAACCTGATTTACGCCATTGAGTGAAAACGTTCAATAGTGTTAAATGATCAGATTCTGGGACTTGGAATTTCTCTCTTGCATTATCTGATTCTTCTTCACGACCTTTTGGTCTGTAGAATACACTTGGCACAGAGAGCATTGATACAATGGTTAGAATCTCTTCAGAACAATTCATATCACAGGAAATAATTAATAATTTAGACAAAGCTGGATCCAATGGAAATTCAACCATTTGACGACCTAAATTTGTTAAACTACCAGTATTATCAAGAGCACCGAAAATCCATAGTTGATACATTGAATTCAATATGTTATCCTACAAATATTCAGAACAATGCACCCCAATTCCAATTAAGGTATACAAAAAAACAATAAATTGTAACAATGTAAACACGTAGAAACAGAATTTTTTGTTCGATTATTTCTTTTTAATGGTTTTAACAAGCAAGCACAACTACTTAGAATATCAAAGAAGAGTCAAATATGGTAACTTATGAGTACTACGGTTATAAATTACAAACTAATGATCTGAAATAATGACCAACTTTATGGCAAGTATATCTTTTATAAAATAGTATCGTATGAATAATTTAGGAATGTTAGTAGAATAAAACCATTGTAGTTGAAATAACTAGAATACTTTGAGTCATACGTAATTTATCCCATGATTAATGTTAACACCTCTAGCTAACTAAAACTGTGTAACAAGGAGAAAGATTCGAGCCTATAGTATGAGAGTAGTTTGAGAATTGAATGAACAAGCTGAATATTCAATTTAATCATAAAGAATAGACAATAAATGGGATGAGTGAGTGAACTCTTTTATGAGTGAATTCCCAAACAGCTCTTAGTAGTTCAATACAAACACTAAAAATATGTAAAACATATTTTTCTCAACACTTTCAATAAAATTTAAAAACTGTAAGGAATTTTCGATTTATAAATTTTTGGTAAACCAGATATACCTGTGGAGGAGCATCCATGAAATGAAATCGCATTAAATCTTGAACACCCAAAGATTTTAATAAAAGAACAACATTGGCCAGATTAGTTCTCTGAATTTCTGGAACAGATGTGATAAGCATTTCATCTTGAAACTGACTTATAGTGTATAAACGGTAACACACTCTAAAAACGAAATGTATAATTGGAAAGAATAAACATAAAAATTTGTAATATCATTAAAAATTTAATGATAAATCAGTGACTAAATGTAGTTTCAGAAAAAAACTAGCTTCAACATGTAAGATTGATTGTTGAAATTTCACTTACGGAATATATTAACAACAAAATACTCAGTGGATAAGTCACTTTCTTAGAACTGTGATTGTTATCAATTTTGAAGATGAGAGTGTTATGTTCTATGACCTGTCAAATATCATGGGACAAAATTGGACAGTCAGAATACCAACTTCTATGACCTTTTCCTCTGGGCTAAACCAATGATCCATCGAAAAGCACTAGCAGCCTTGAGTCAACTCCGAGTCCTTATTGGTCCTCTATATAGAAACTTCTCGCCTAGCCCATCCCGTTCAGTCCAGAACAGAAATATCAGCCTCCACTATACGAATCATATATTTCAGACATACGTGATTTATTTAAGAATGGCAAATCGTATAACAGTAGCCAATAGGTCAAATGAAAGCTTATGATGGAAGGAATATGAATATACATATAATCTAGTTACTTAATAATTACCCAATAAGAATACATGTAATAATAGTCCATAAATAATTCCTAGAAGTTACCATTCATCTACTCTTCGTTTGTATATAACGGAGAGCAAATGTAAAATCAACGAATAAGTAAAAACTGGTATATTATGGATTGTCATATCAGAAAGTTATACCTATAAAACGAGCTAATATTCACCATAGTTAAAACATAACGAACTAGTTGGGCAGAAATGTCAAGTGAAGTGTAGTCTGAAATGCCGGATAATGAAAAACACAAATATAGTTAAGTTGATGGCTTGAAGTGAAATGACTTACAAAAATATGCACTAGTTATTAACTAAATTAACAGAAAGATGACTGAAAGTGTTATTGACGTTATATTTCGAGAAAGCTGTCGATAAGAACAACCATTAATTGAAATATTTATAATCAATATTGAAAGAGACATCGCACAATAGATTTGCTGAAAGTAAAAATTCTTCCTGAAAAACAAGATTGGTACTTAACATACAAATGTGGTTGTTGGGTAACCTTTCAACAGTCATTATTACTCAGCTTCGATAGCGTGCAAACTACAGTATAAAATTACCACCAATGAGGATGGAGAGTGTTCATTAAACGCAATCTGTTATAATGAAGATTTATAACTTGGGTGGATAGCTTCAGTTACGTTGTGTTCTCTGAGCTGGGTGATTTATACTGACCAAAATACAACATTAAGAGATTACAAATGTAATATCATCCACTAAATAAATTGTACCAACTGATACGAACGTTACAGTGGACAACCCATCTATCTACGCATACACGAAAACAAAATGACAGAAAAACAACGTGATATATTATCACTCATATCATTGGACGCGGAAAACTACAGGTAGAAAGTCGACTGAGAAAACATCGAAATCCCACATCGATGAGACTCAGAGAGTTAGAGAGATTTTCCGGATGGATGGCAGTTATTATCACTGAAAATATAGAGATCCATTACATTCATTAAACTATACAGAAATAGTCAACAGCCAGTTATGTAACCATGAGTCGACATAGAAAAACACTCGACAGGAATAAAAAGGTAAATAAAGGTAACCGGACACCTCCGAAAACAACCACTCAGAGACAAGGTCATCAGAACTGAGTGCTTTAACGCTTACGAATTATTAACTAAACATCTCACTTCTACGTAAAGTAAGAGCTGGTGACATTGTCCAGAACAAAAATCAAATTTTCCATATCTAACTTCCCAGCTGGGAGAATACAACAGCACCGACTGAAAATATTGTGAATACCAAATGAAACGGTCATAGCATATTACATGTAAGGACAACAAAACAGTTTAAATTCGATTTATGATAGTATTTTTCCAAACTGAAGTATATAAAATACCTACCCTGGACCAGTTCTACCAGCACGACCAGCACGTTGATTAGCATTAGCTTGACTAATTGGAAATATTTGTAATGCATCCATACCAATTTTAGGGTTGAAAACTTTCAATTTACAATAACCACAATCGATCACATAACGTATCCCATCAACTGAAAATCAAATCGTATACAAAAAACATTGGTTCAAATTATTACTTTTTTTCATTACGTTGAATAATATATGAAATAATAATGATGAAGGAGAGATTTTAGGAAAAACGTGCAAAATTTAAGGAAGAAGCAAAAGACAAGTGATGTATGAATATCAGTTAAAGGTTGTAGGGATTGTTGAATTTGATTGAAATTATTAACTGATCAACGTTAGACCAACATCGAAAAACCTGGAACCACTGAACAGCCGTTTCGGCTTAGTATTGGACCCTGCACACGGCAATCGAACCCAGGACTTTCGGTCACACGCACGAACGCTTAACCTCTAGGCCACTGAGTCGGTTATGAATATACCTATATATGTTCTGCCATTTTCAGGAGATATTAAAACAGGATCTAGTAACACGATTAGACGAAATAACAGGGAGTGTAATTTGATGAATAAATTTCTTGTAACACAAAGATTTTTTTTATTTCTGCTAATTATTCTGTTGACTTTTTTGCTGGTACTTTCATTTTAACTCATACCAAAATATGGGATTGTAAACCCCTGTGTAATTCGATTAACTACGACTCAGCATGCTTTTAAAGAAATGAGATTGTAAGGCAGAGGAAAGCTAGCAATTACTAAATTAAAGAATATCATAAGTCTATGAAGTTATTGACTATTGATCTGAACCGTGTCGATAAATGTATGGTAATACCTCAATGAGATCCACGAGATAATCGTGATGAATGGCTGAAGATGTTGTGTGATATGATACAAGAGCAGTCGCATTCACTTTTTATATTCTTCTACATTAATAAGGTTTAGCATTATTCCACGCTTTTTGTTTCAGGATTATATTACTGATTTTTAAACTATATTCAATATGTTTAGTTTCTTTTTCTTACAACCACTAATATTTGTATTATTTCAAAGTGTTAATGTTTAGTTTTCTCTTACTTTGTTGGATGTGGTGTAGCGACTTGGATTAATGTGCACGTTGATCATAACAGATCGATATAATTTTTCTTTTAAAACATTGATCAAATCATTAGGAATAATAGAAAGAAATATGCCAAAGAAAAACTTTCATTCAATGAACTTCCTGTTACCTTTATAAAGAGTGTAAAAGAAAATTACAGCAAGATTATTGATGGTTTCTATTCTGAGACATGTCTAACGATGTCTCAAGCCACTGAGTTGCACTGTCTCTAAGACTCCAAGTTAGGAAGTAGCAATAAGCCGACAGATACTAGTACTATACAGCCTCTTTTATATCACAGCACCGTGTCATAAACTGGCCATATTAAGTACGAATAACTCCTCGGATCACTATTCAAGATATGTAAATTCTAGGAAAATATTATACTAATAAGTAATTTTTCCAGTATGATTCATCTTTCGTAATTGGACAGTATGAAGCTATTCAACTTAACAGACTGGTCTACTTCAATGTTGGGGATCCTGACAGATATACACAATTCGTTCAATTAAACGTCAAAAAGAAAGCATAAAATAACAACAACCTACCAGTTAATGAGGTTTCAGCAATATTTGTTGCCACGACACATTTTCGGACACCATTTTCAGCCTTCATAAATATTTTTGCTTGAAGATCGCTCGGTAACTGAGAATAAATGGGGAGGATGGACAGTGGAGGAGCTTCATCCAAGTTACTCAAACGTTCTGAAAATTACAACAGGGCGAAATACAGATGAGATAAAAAGATTATTTAAATCACGCTTGTAGGAAATAATTAGTGTTTACTTGGTAAGAACTCTACAGGAACAACATTATTCATCATTAGACAAGAACTTTATCTTAATATGACATCCAACAGCAACTATCTACCAATATTATTTACGACCTACTCGATTTTCGGCACTTCTTGTCTCCATATGATCTAAACAATTGCTAATTATCCTTTTCGAGTGACTTACCATGTTTATGCAACAATGCCTCACATATATCGAATATGTTGCTATCATATGTTTAGTAAAAGTTTGACGTCGAATAGTATTAACCGAAAAGTCTAAACAAACCGGTGTGACAGGTTTTATCGAGCCGGAAAATAAGTATAATCATAATAACCAGACTCGCTTTAGTTACTACCATATATTTGATTACAGTAAGGAATTTTCAGCAATAAAATATTCAATATGACAACAAAACTGTCATTTTATAAGCAGTTAACTTGTGAATATTCTTTAAAAAAATTATGCATAAAAGTGTTCAAACAATGATTAGCTGCCATTCATATTTATCCGTCATTGTTTATGATTATTATTGTTTCTGTGAAACATTTTACCGTCGTCAAATATATTTTATGCGTGAATTCTATAGTAGTTATTTCTTGTTTCTTCAATTAGAGGAAATATACCAATCATCGTGGTGGGACTTCTTAGTTATTTTTTCTCATTAATTAAATTCACATGTTGTAAACATCCTATTCGGTCGCGCAAGCGCAACTGGTCAATAGATCTGTGATAATAACCACATGTTTGGAAAAATGGTAACACTCAAATTTGAGCAGACCTCGGTGTAGACATAACATGAAAAAACATTTGAATTCGAGTTCAATAATGAGAGGGTATTTAATACTGTCGAGTAATAACAATAGGCTATTATTATGATAATCATTAAAGTGAACACGTGAAGATGCAAAGAAAAAAAATACTAGTATTATGGGTTTATGAAGATTATTCCAGTTTGTAGTTTACATACTAGACTGACACCTTAGTTACATAACCAGTGTAAATCAAGAAATACTGGACAGTTATTTCACCTAAGTATGGGAATTCTCAGCAGTTTGTATCCAAGACGCTATCGACGATCGAATATACGGCCTTTAGGTCACGCAGTAAACACCTAACACTTATACCACTGAGCCGACACACAGTGTTCAACATTAACAAATTAAGTCAGTTTGTGATATTACACAACCACCATTCAGTACCACGGATGAAGTCATAAATGGTATGTATTTACACGTGAACTCAAAGATAGAAAAGTTAACCGGTTTTCCCAAAAACTTAATAGTCATGAATTTGATCGCTGGTGGATTCCTAGATTCACATTGTTGAAGAGTCCTATACCAAGACTGGTTTTCAATAGTTTTCTAATCCCAGTCGATGACGCAAATGAGAAAAATGTAATAACAACTGACCAGCAATTAGTTCACATGTCACTTCAATATCTTCTTGACCAGGCATAAAAATGAGTATATCACCTAGATAAATGAAAAAGAAACGAATGATTGAAACATTAAATGCATTTACAGCAATAAACGACTTAATACTACAGAAATTATTTCTTCCAGACTTTTCTAACATAAATATAACTCGTGACTAATTGTTGAAATATTACACAAGTTTTAATTACGAAAACTTAACATTCAAATAAAGAGTAAACTAAGAAAATCCAAAAGTTTACGACGAATCAGCAATACGCAAAATCTTTCCTCTCTGGTATCGACTTTAAAACTTGGATAATGAAATTTTGTAAATAAAAGAACAATATACTGATTATCTAAGTATAGACGAGTATGAGAGAGGAGTAATATCCATTATTTGTTCTATCTGTCAATAGTCCAAAATATCAGGTCTAATTTGGATCAAACCTACAAAAAAAGTCTTCGTTTTAATTTTACGTAGCCTGCGTGAAGAAAATTTAAACAGATAGTACTCACTTTTCCATCATTCCTCTTAAATAAGTTAAAATTAGATAGATGAATTCAACACACCTGTGTTTCAGTTATAACCAACACAGAACTTAACACATATGTGGATCGGTTCAAGTTGCCATACCAAATTAACATAGTGAAATGGAATCACCACAACAAATGTCAGAATATTAACAATATTAATAATGATATAAAAAATAAATATGGTCAAAATGATTCGAGGAAAAGAGAAGGAATGACATAATTTTAAAACTCAATATTTAACAACAGACAAAGGGTGAATGATATCGTAATCGGTTGTGCGAGCTATGTCACCCAAAGTCTTCAACTAATGGTTCGGATGACTGCATGGACGTTCAACAGTCAGTGACTTTATGGATTGGTGTTGTTTTGAAGTGGTCGCTCCCAGATTCCTTTCAATTTACTTCTACATCAGTAAACGTCGCCTGTTAAGCTAGATGTAACATGTCCCAACCAATCCAGTTGATAACGATTCACTCTTTCATCATCCAATTTACTGTTTTCACTTAATACCCTAAGTCTCACCTCAGTATTGAATTCGTTATTCAGTCAAAAACAAACTAATTATGATATCAAATGTCTATAACAAAAAAAGATTTACCATCTGTTGGTGAGCCTAAATGAACCTGAATTGCTTGTTTCACAGATGCATCTACATAATCCATTACTGTTGTTTTACTGAATTGTGTATCAACAGGAAATGTTCGGCCAGGTATTCGAAAAATAGGACAATCACCGAAAAACTGAGCAAATCTTTCTGCGTCCATTGTAGCAGAAGTGATTAAAAGACGTAAATCATTACGCCTACTAACAACCTGAAAATAATACAGACACATTAACTTAATGAGTATTCATTAGGCGAAATAGATTTACGACAACATTACGCAAAACAAAATACAGTGGTGCCTTGACGACCAAGGCGTTCAACTTATAGCCACCAAGTCTCAGGTTCAAACCCCGCCCCACCTACTTTGGCTTAAGCAACCGGATATCATCACTGGCTCTTACACTTGAAGGGTGGCTCGAAGCCGAATGCACTAAAATGTGCCGGGTAAATAAGCTAATAAACGAGTCTAAAACAATAAGAGTGGTGATTCAAAATTCAATATAGACTGCAAACTATATCTGATTATTTCTCCAGAGTGAAAACTTTTGAAAAATACGAAGATTTACAATTCTAATACTGTAATATGATGTCCATGAATAACAGCTAAAATGAAGAAGTAGTAAATAATATATACAATTATTGTTAATTGATTGGGAATTCGCGAGATCATTTCAATGATTATAATTAAATGTATTTTTTAAAGTCCAGTAACGATAACAATAATTACGACGGGAACGACTTTGTAATAACTGACCTTCCCTGTCAGGGAAGTCCTACTTACTGCTTTCTCGCAGCGAGGGTGTTGTTTACAAAATTGGAAGGACGAAAAGCGATTGTTCGGAGCTTTACGCGGGTTGGTGGATGCGGAGATTCCACCTACGGAAGTTACAAAAGCCTTATTGCACACCAATGGTGCTCATGAACTCCAGGATACTGAGGGAACAAATGGTGTATGAATAAATCGTTGGTCACCGGCTGCCATGGGACTGCATCACCTTATGTTGCTCCACTACCTTGTGGATTAGGCCTCTAGGCCAAAGGCTTGGGGTATGAACTCCTAATAAAACCACCTGCTTCGGTTTGGGTACCCTGGTAGTATCATAGTCCACACACACATCAAGCAACTTATGTGGCGCATATGTATTTGGTGCCCCTTTGTACCAATATTTATGTGTTCAAATAAATAAATAAATAATAAGTGAAAGCTTTGTAATTAGATCATCGAACTCGGAGAACCATTAAAAACACAAATAGGGTATTTACGAAACACGTACGCACTAATTTACGAATCCGGTGGGAAAACAATTAAGATTTTCAACTGTTATATATAATGCCCAACAGGCCTCTTAGATAACATTTTGGATAGTAAGGTAAGGATGGCAAATCAATTGATGCCGTAGTGAAACTTCATCAGTTGAGATGGCTGGGACACGTGTTACGTATGCCCAACGAACGACTGCCTCAACGTGCGATGTTCAGAAGTATAGGAGTAGGTTGGAAGAAAGCTGGGGGTGACCAGACCAAAACATGGCACAAGTCCATGAAGTCACTGACAAGTGGACTGAGTCATGTCAGTAGGTGTAGACTACCTGGTTGGGGACCGCGAGATGATAGCAACCGATAGTTAGAGGTGCATCCACTCTCTGTGTTTTCCCAAATTCTAATCTTCTGAATTCTTTATGTCCCTTTTTTCCTCTTTCCAAATTTATTTCACTGGATTATACCCCTTGAATAACATCTCCAAACACTAATCTTTCCGATTACTGTTTATAGTCTTATTACCTCTACCACTACGGGATTTGAATCGACCACCGCATCTCTGTACTAAAAACGAATGTCCCTATCTTTTCGGATTCTTACTGTTCCGTTCAGTCGGACAGCGCACAAACGGCTGTCTACTGGGATCCACTCTAAGAGAGCTAGTTCTGCCCTAGGACTCAATGCTATACCTACGCCGGCGAGGCCACGGGAAGCAGAATCAGGGCTTTCAGATACACGAAGCGTAAATCGAGTCGGTTCTTTATTTTGGCATGGTGAGGTCAAATGAATGACGCTACTTGGATCCTGTATGCGCGTTTCGGAGACGCAGCACACATCGATGGCGCGAGATTCTAAAGTCCTAGCTAAGGAAGCCTGCTGTCCTATTTGGCAAAGTGTTCGTACGTTAAAAGCTCCTACGTGTAGTTTAGAGCGTGGTTTCAGGAGACCAGGAATAGCGTTCCACGTACTCGAATCGTCTGCCCTAGCGCTGCGAGGTGATAAAGAGACGTGAGGAGGGTTAGTCATGGAGATAAGAGAGGTATTAGGAAGTGTAGGAAGGATTTGAATGTGACCAACTTGGTGTCATGTGCTGTTACGGGTATGAGGGCTGATGTCACTTCCCGGCTGCCCACACCGTGGAAGGGTATTTCTTGAGGAACCTGAAAAGGAAATTGGATTAGTGTTGGTCTTGACGACCTGGGAGCGTGACCACAGAGCCCAAGGGACAACTGCTTAAGGCCGGTCGCGCACGGCCTTTTTGTGAGAGGTTTTTGATGTGTTAGCTCCGTTCTTCAAAGGGCCTTACCGCCGGAGACGGAAATCCGTGAGGTAAGGTGAGGTGTGACATTTTTAGGGTCGACCTTTTCTAACCCCACCCCTCCTTGTGGGAAGGCAGCATCGCTGCAGATGCTGGTTGTCCAAGGGAAACACCTTACTGCTGCCACACCTCTCTACAGTCAGCAGTACGACTTCGCCCTCAGACCTTGAGTTGCTGCTTTTAGTCTTACCGTTCACCAATCGACCTGCCTGGCATGGTAGAACCTACAGGAACATATGTTCCAGCCAATATAGCTCGGTTGGGTTATCACGATAGGCAAGCCCGACCACCGCGTTAAGGTAGCAGCTTCGGTCGCGCAGACAATGGATGAAGGGTTGCAAAAGATCATGGATCGATTGGAGTTAAACAATGACACCGCTGGACGGCGGCTCAGTGGTTTAGAGGTCAAACGTTCACGCGCGAAACCAAAGGTCCTGGGTTCGAGTTCCTGTGCGAGATCGTGGATGTGCACTGCTGAGAAGTCAGACAGTCAGCTACAACGTAGGACCAGGCACACATATTCATCGGTCTAAGTTATCACACCTCATTAGCACAACAAGATGTACACAAAATTCATATACGTAGTTAATTCAATGGTACTAATATATAAAAGAAAGATTATGATTAAGGATATAGTACAGGAAGAAAAAATTAGTTAGTAGAAAGAAAGATATGTACCAATTTTAATCTCACGGTTTAATGGAAGACAAAGAGTGTATACACCGACGCCATTGTGATCGATTCTGGGAGGCACATTTCGCCTCGACCGGATGTACCTGTACCTTAATATTGAAGTTTTCATTGACAGTCGAATTCAGTACCCTCTGCTTCACACCCAAAGGCATTATATACTAAGCTACTGAGTTCATACAGCAACTGACTATTCAGTCTTGAATATTAACAACAGGATAATTCAAACCCTTACTAATAATGATATTCAAACTATAATATCTATTATGTTGAACCTTTTAAAAAGAAGGAAACTTACTTCACGTAACAATCCAAATAATACATCAGTATTTAAAGACCTTTCATGCGCTTCATCCATGATAATTGCAGAGTATGGATCAAGATCAGATTCACGTAGTGACTCACGTAATAGAATTCCATCAGTCATATATTTAATTAAAGTGGAAGAAGAAGTACAATCTTCGAATCTTATAGCATAACCAACTTCTTCACCTAGACGTACATTCATTTCTTCAGCAACTCGTCGAGCAACAGACATAGCAGCAACACGACGTGGTTGAGTACAACCAACCATGCCATAAGTTGTGAAACCATCTTCATGTAAATATTGAGTTAATTGAGTAGTTTTACCACTTCCAGTTTCGCCAACAATCACTACAATCTAGTTTAAATGAAAAAGAATTTCCACACGAGATTGTCTACTACGTACATTGAAGTATATATCAGAGATTGAAAAAAAACTACATCAATAGGCTTCCCAAGTTGATATATTTAATTATTTTAACTATGAGAATAAAAATGTATAAACCGAATACGGTTACTGTCTCATAATATTAATTTCAACAGGACCACAAGACGTCGAAAACTGTTTACATGACTTTGATCATTTCTATTTGTTTGCTACCTCTATTGAGCGGTGATTACTGGTATAGGAGTAAGTTCATAAAAAGCTAGGGTTGCCTGAGACAAAGCAATCTATGAAGTTATTGACTGTTGGATCGAGGTGTCATTTGAAATAGACGACTTTGCTGGGGTTCGCGTGATTATTTAAACTAGTGGTCAGATAAGCAAAGACGGATAGTGGCTAGCAGTGGAATCCAGAATGGATAACGCGATGGCGTTTGAAGCGAATAGTACTGGGTTCGAGTCCCAGAGTGAACATCAATTCTGAGATGCAGGTACACCCAGCCGAAGAGTCTCAAATAGAACGAAACGCGCGTCCTGGATTCCACTGCTAGCCACTACCCATCTTTGTTTATAAAAGCTTGTGAATTAAGGCAATATCGAGGCATACGCACAGTATGCACATATGCCAATAATAGACTGATCAATTGCAGTCATAAACTTCAATAGGAAGATACAAACAAAACAATACCAAGTGAATTTAGTGATTAGATACTTTAAATGAAATAAATCAGGACTGGTCACAACGACATATATGTATTCACCATATTCATCTAAACCTTAAGTTCCAGTATTCCTTCATATACACTTTTCTTTTTTGTCTTTTTGAAATACAATCAAAATGTTTAGCGGTTCACATTGCCACTGCTGTTACATTATTCTAATCTCTTTCGTAATTCATTTTACTAATTTCGTTTAATTGTGATGATGTGGTATGGCAACCTGAGTCAACGCACTTTTATGCCACGCTCCAAGTTGTTGATGGCTAACTATTTGTTTGCTTATGTAGTAATAAAGTCCTCCAGGTACTGGGTTGTGCTAATCGTATCTGTTTGATGTTTGATCGACTTACAAATACGCTATTATCAATAACCCTAATTGAATTAATCTATAGGGTTGTTACCCGATATATTACTCTCTATATGTTACTCCACATATTGTACAACTATGTGAAAATACGTTCATTTGGTATTGTTTATTTGAATCTTCCCATTGATATTTAGGACTGCAATTGATCGCTCTCTTATTACCATATGTGCATACTGTGCGTATTGCCTTGATATAGCTTTAATTCACAAGTATTATAAGCAAAGATGGATAGTGGCTAGCTGTGGAAACCAGGATGCGTGTTTCGTTCTATTTTAGACTCGTCGGCTGGATGTACCTGCATGTGTAGAGATGGGTGAATTTTTATACATACTTTTCATACTTTTACAATTAATCATTCTACACCAAGACCTCAGCATTTTCAACCAATCAGCGCTAGTGGAAGAATAGAGAAGATTCGCATGTAAATCCTATCTAAACTCTAGATTTCTTTTTACCACTACATCTTTGCTGTTCATGTTGTCGAAATATACATTATTCGCTCTTAATTCTCATTCTGATTTGGGAAGAGTCAAGTGGAGCAAAGTGATCAGGAAATACTAGACAGTAGGTGAACATAACAAAAATGTAGTTCTAACCTGAGGTCCAACGGTTAAAAAGCGAATATCTTAGCTCCCAGGCCACCTTTAAGGTTAGAGCAATGGAGAGTAGAATCCAACCCCGAGTTCTGTGTTCAAAAGACACATGTCTATTACCTTATTTTATCATGTTCTTATAAGCCCTTCTAATCATACATGTGATTTCCAATTGTTTGCTTATTCGCCTTCCATTTATTAAGTTGACATCTATCTTTTACACTTCAATGAAATATTGTCAATTTACTGCTTCACATTGTTTTTGAGACTGCTACACAAACTGTATTTGATACACTAGAAATGTTCCATAACTTCTTTAATAACGCGACACCCCCTATTTTAATAATAACTACTATATATCAAAAATAAGTATGAACAAAACTGTACAACATTAGCATATGACATCATCGAGAAAAGATAATGATGACGATATATAACAACAGAATGTAGCTAACAATTAAAATGAAGTGAATTATAATCAGTCTACCGGTCTCAATATTTAAATTACTGTCAAAAATAGATAACTAATGATAAGAACCTACTTGATGTTCTTTAATCATTCTCAGTAAGGATGTCCTTACGGAAAATACTGGTAAGTATTGTCGTTGTTCCACAATGGTTTTTCGTGTAGCGAACTCGCTAACTGCTTCAGATTTCATATCTCCTACTTTATCGGCAAATGTCTGTGCATCACGATGTGATTTCTCTGTCCAATTATCCTGTTCTTCCGGAGGTTTTATACCCATAACTTCCCCTATACGCGTACCAGCCAATTGCCATTCTTTCTTTTGTGCTCTTTTACGTTCTTTTTGTTCTCGAAAGTATTTCACTATGGCACTGCCTTTCTGCGCAACTTTGGCCATTATACTCTCTGGGTCCTACAATTAAAAACACAAAAATTATTTAACATGTCTTTAAACAATATACCTGTACTTATAGTATAGAATTCGATCAACCATCAATGGAATCTCACAATATTATAAAAACTGTTACACATAATAATAATAATTTTTCAAAACAGTTCCAAGATAGTTCTGTCGTTTTCTAACGTACTGCCCCCTCAGGTCAAAAAATAATAGAACTGAGATTGCTGACGATTTGTAGAATTCAGTAGCATATGGCAAGATGATTTGACATATTCTCGTCGTAAAAATAAATTATGTTATTACATCACAATAAACTGTGATTCTCATAGAGGTCCAAAAGAATACACATAAATATTCATTCTATGATTTTATTTCCAACAGACGAAAAGGAATTTAAAACAGTTCAGACTTAGTAAAATATATCTACCAATTACTTTAAAGACATAACTGTATCTTGGTATTCCCTAGTTCAGATTCTAAAAATATACTGATGATAGAATCTTGGTGAATGTATACAATGTATACCATATTAACGAAACTGTGTTTCTGTTCACAGCTAAGTTCGTATGACAAGATGATTTAAATCGACCATATCAATGATAAAAAGGGAATAATAAAAGGTGAAAAATCTTTCAATATTAAATATCGCCGGCGACTTGTAGAATATTCAAATCATTAAGAATATACAGAGATGACTATATGCCTCTGCAAATAGTCAACAAGAAAGCAACGTAAGTTGTATCAATCAATTTTAAAAGCCAAAATGCAAAAGAGAATGTGATAAACAAAATGTAGTTTAAAAATAAATATAATTATGATATTTTTATTCATTTGATGATTGGTGCTGTTGAGAGAACTTATGCTAAAAGAAATTTACATAGTAACGAACGAGATCAAAATATTGCCATCTTCTGCTGAAGAAATAATGTTGTGCAGAAACCTTGATTATGTAGCTGGGATATTAAGTCAAGTGTCATTTAAGAGTAAACTGTTTTTTGTAAACTGATGTCAGTTAAGAAAACCATTGAATTGAAGGGGGACTGAAGAATTAACAAGCTTACGTGAGTGAGACTAGGTTGTTAAGTCTCAAAATGAGTACGACATCTTTGAATCATAAAGTCGAAAACCAATGGCTAAAAGTTTTTATTTTGATCAGCTTGTGATGTGGTGGATTGTTTACAAATCAAACTATATGACTTAAAGGTATTTTGTTCACAAGATCTCAAGGTCCTTAGTTTGGCCTAATGGGTATTTACTGGTGAGGAGTCTTAAGCAAGTATGGGACGGTTATCCAAATCTCTCGAACTAAAAATGGATCTTCAGTTGAAAACTACATTTGAGTAATACAAATCTCTATAAGACCACCTAACTTATTAATGGTACATTGAGTTATTAATCTTTGAGCAGATAAAAATATGAGTTAAAAACAATAATATATTTAAAAAATATTATTACTTCACCTTGACAGGAATAATAGGTTCAGGTTGACGAGTGAAAACAATTCGGCCATCCAAAAATGGTGGAAGTATATTACGAACTAATAAGTGAACTCTAGCTTCACCTTCTTCATCGAAATCTTCATCTTGTTCAAAATCTACTCGTTGAACAACTCCAGATCTTAACATACGATTATGTTCCCATGCTTGATTATCTTTATGAACTTGGACAGCTTTTGCAGTTAAGCGTTGTTTATGTCGTTTTTTACGTTCTGCTAACTGACGTTCCTTTTTAGCAGCATACTCTTCAGGAATGTCTAGGGATAGTTTTTTAAAACAGTTACAATATATAGAATACTGTCTATTGCTTGAGACAACATAAATGAGTGACATGGAGATAGAAAATCTAACTAATAAGGTCCATCAACAGATATCAAAATTAGTAAATTTATGTGTTCAGTTGGTTCGATTTGTCAAAGTAACTTTCATAGGTGATATTTATGAATAGGGTTCGGTCGTTCATTGTATACTACTCCTGTTTTAGCTATTAACTGTAGCTGCTACCTTGACGTGGTGGCTGCGTTTGCTCATCGTGATTATCTAATCGAAACACACTGGCTAGGATGATCATTTTTCTAGGTTCTGTTATGCCAGAAGGATCGGTTGAAGAACAGTAAGACTGAAATAAGAACTTATGTTCACAACTGAACTGACCAACTCAGTAAGCAGGAAAGACAACTGGGTTTTGATTATCATTTTTATAGTAGACTTACAACAACTAAGTGAAACTGATAAATGATTTACTGAAATTTGTAACTCTTGCAGCACAATACCTTGATGGTCAATCGTACTTACTTCAAGGTACTAGGATCAGCCTAAAAAGAGGTCAAAAATATGAGCAACTGATGTGTTTAAACTAAAACTAGACAACATCAGGGTTGCTTCTAGTATTTTTTAAAATTATAATCTCCAAACTCATTTACTACCAACAAATAACCAGTATAACTTCACGGATAAAGGTCCACACACCTTTTTTGTTAATAAAGTAATTCGGTGAAGTTTAGACATTCCAAATTACTGTTCTGGCAATGACTGGCAAATTGACCAAATATTTACTATGTGACACAAACACTGCAACTTAGTGGCGGGCTTACATTTTCAACTATCCTAAATACTTGGGATTTAATAAATGAAATACAACCATGGAGTAGGAAATCTAGTACATATACTAAAAGTAGAAAGTGAATATTTATGACACCAAGATCGTCTGATGAAGAACTTAGGTCATATGTATTAGAAATTATAAGTTATTTCAAGAACCTGACTTATCATTGACACTATATCATTTGGAAAACCAAATTCGACTGAACTTGAAGGAAAAAATTACACTTTCGCTGTTACACAAAGTGGACAAGTTTAAAAAATTTCACATTAGAATTTCATTGTTGTTTGGATATTTAAATGAGCGAGATACCATTAGTGTTTAGATAAAAAAAAGTATTTTATCAAATGATGGCGAATAGTAGGATTCATTGGTAAAAGTGCTATGGCCAAACCACTTACCAGAAAACGGATGGTTATCATTATCATAGCCATCATCCATTTGATACCAATTACGATCTAAGCGTTCATTTTCAGCCTTAATATCATCACCATCTTCCTCTATCTCAGTAGAATCAGGTTTCACACTATCGCCTTCGTTTTCACTGGAAACTTGTGCATAAGACTGGCCATGAGTATGACGACCCGAATGCTGTTTTCTGGAGTCCGAACTCCCTGTGTTATTTTTATTTGATTGCATCCATGAATTATGCTTAAAACTTGGAGTAGGCATAGGAGTATAGGTATATCGATCATTATTGGAATTACGAGCTAGTGATCCGGTAGTGCGAGGGGTAGTAGATCGACTAGATCCTAAACCAGAATCATCCCAGCTAGAATGTCCTGGAGACCGTCCCCCAACATTATATATTTCAGGAGTTTCAAATCGGTTAATGCTTGTTCCAGTAGTACTTCTATTTTCCCGACTGCTGTGATTAGGTGTTTCATCTTCCCATTCTGCTTCTCTCCGATGTCGAGTGCTGAGAGATTCTTTTTCTCTGACTAATTCAATGCGAGAATAGTCTGCCAAGAAATTAAAAGAAGGATTATTTAAGAGATAGTTTCTCTAAAGTTTATTCGTACAGTAAAACAGCTTCGGCAAAAATATGAAACGTAATCAACAATCTGTAATACCACAACTGTTTTAAGTGAATATAATTGAACCAAGAACGAATAACTAAAAGGTGTGAAAATATGTACCTGATTCATTGAGAATAGTTTACACTAAAATTACTGGAAATGCTATCAGGAAAGGTTAATAGTGTAAATTATAATTTAGATAAATTTGAGTATTCTGGGACTGTGATTGGCAAACAAATTATAAGCGTAATAACGCTTAAATACATGCCACAAATATTGCAAGAAATAGTTTAGAATGGACGATACCATTAACAGTGGACAAGTAAAGGAAAGAGGTTGTGACGTTGGTTAGGATAGGAATGTTTAGATTTGCATTTTAACAATAAAATGATAAGTGTGCGTATACTTCACTTCTCAACATAGAATAACTTGTGGGTGAGAACTTATTTGAAGTAAAGCCGTCGACTAAAAGAATTGAAATCTAGGAGTTATGTTATAAATCTAACTGTAAAACGATTCATTTAGATATAATTGTACACAAAAGAATTACTGTTAATTAGAATTCAGATGGGATGAAATATCTCTGCGCGTGTTTTACGGTTATGTAGCCACAAGGGGAGTTTTAAGAAGTCGTAGTAGCATCAAAACACATAGTAACCTTGCGTATTTACACATTAAAGTTTACCTGATGATTTTCGAGAGTCTGAGTAGTTCTCACCAATTTTTCTGGATGTTGATACAAGACCGGTTTTTAAGCGTTCTTTCTGGTCACGCTCACGCCTTCTTGCCTGAGAATCGAAATATTCTTTGCTAACACCCCCACGATTGGAAGGAGTTTCAACGCGCCTTTCCCTATAGAACCTGATACAAAAGTAAACCTTATGCAAAAACTTCATTACCTTTCTTTATTTGTAACATCGCGCTTGTTAAACTGTAGATTAAGATCCTCAGATTCCTGTCGCTTTTTTGCCGCCAACTTATCAAGTCCAAATAAGGACTTTTGAGGTTGTTTGAAATTTTCTTTCGACTTAGTTATTATCAGCCCACCAACTTCCGTTGTAGATTCATGTAGACGAACTTTCTCCTCGAAAAGGTCCATACGGTCGCACACGGATATTTTCTAGGGCTCTATATTCAAATATTTAATAGTGACTTCTCGAAATTATTAAATAACGTTTAGTCGCTCAAGAGAGACTGAAAGCACGATCGAGATAACAAAAAAGAAAGACTTAAGAAATTCGAAGGAGAAGTAAATTATACATAGCCAGCATACATACATATATATAGTAAATACGTTCCTTCGTTAAATATTACCTAAGAAAGTTGACGTAGCAACGTGTCAACGATATCGAAGTTTACCCTACACCGATTAGTCACGTTAGTCTAAACTTTAACGACTAATTTAATTTGTGGGAAACAGACTGTTGAGTACTTCTGCAACATTGTGATTGTCATATCTAACAACACGCAAAGTCAATCTAATATGTAAAAACTTACCACTATATGTGCTCAATATGCCAGTTTCTGTTATACTGAGTACAATGGACTAATCTCTGAATGTCACACCAGATTATCCTCTGTCGCGTCTGACCAGAAAATAAGAGATTTACAATGTACCAATGGAGAGGGGGTATGCCATTTTTGTCCAGGAACAATTGCATGAGTTTAGTGATCAGTGGGACATATTACAAAATGAAAGCTGGTTTTTAGGTTAGCATCTATCACTGCATAGTAATTGATGACCGTACATTTCTTCGGAGTGGTACATTACTAATCAGGCTTAGAAAAGAAGGGTGATTATAACGTAATTCCCTATTGTGTTCTTGTAAAAAAAGCATTTTTGATTGAATGACACTTGTGCCGATTGTCTTTTTAGAAACAAACCTTTTCATGGCTTCTATTTAATGGCCTTTTTCTTCACGCACGCCACTCTAATTTCGGCACGAATTCAGAAAGTTCGGCTGCCTTTTGGCAACTCTGTTCACTTTTAGCGTAGGTAACCAGAAAATGGGTTTACTGCAGATAAGTTTCCTTTTTTATTTCAAGTGTGTGAAACATGTCTATTGAAAACAGATATTTGTGAGTTACCACTGTTTGACCATAGGTGCCTTTACGGTATTGCTGAGACCACTGAATGACCAATGCTGAGGTTAGGCACAGGATACTGAGTAAAGATGGCAAGTCGGCTGATGGGGTATTGAGTCTTTACCAGCTGTGTTTGAGACATGCTTTATGTATGCCTAATTACTACCAACTTTGGCGAGGAATGTTATTTGGTGTGAGTAGGCTGGAAGAGAGCTACGGGCAGCTAAATTGAGATACAGCACAAATCCACGAGGTCATTAACTGGGAAATATTATTAAGTTTAGACCATCTGGCTATTGCCCGTGTAATTATCCTAACTGTTAAAGAATTTTAGCGACATAGTTCAAAAATGTTTGCAATGGAGCATGTGTATACACTCCATAACTCCCCATAGATCCAGAATAACGAAATCTTTATACTTTTCACATTTCTAAATACAATCTTTACTACCACTACCGGTACCATTATTACTTAGACTATAGTAATGTTCTATAGTGCTTGAACTGATTGCATGAATTAAGTGAATACGGTGTGGTTTTCTTGCAATTGGTTTGGTTTTTCGATTCATCGCTAATTCTAAACAGCCACAGTGAGGGCTGTGGTATACTTTCGGCCGCAACGCAAAGAATGTGCGATAACAGACAACCCTCCAGAATATGTTCGTGGTCATCGTTTATCCAGTAACAGCGAGTTGGTAAAAGTGGTGAAAAAGAATGGTTAAATGTTTCCAAACCCGGGATGACGCCGTTATTAACTGCTTTGATCGAACTTATTTCCTCTGAATTCAGATTTAAAGTGTCAAATCTTAATCATTCTCCAGGGTTTTCATTTCACCTTCGACGATTTATATGCAGCTTTTAGTTCCAAGATGTGTTGTTAACAACAACCTCGTACAAAATTAGACTGACAATTAAAGCAGGATTGCTGTTCAAAGGCCACTTGTGTTTTTTAAAGTGTATAATCCAGATACTGTTTGTAAAGCTCGACAAAAGTAACTTCTCAGAATAGGAGTTTACTACTTACCTATCGTATCCGTCTGTATGAAACTTTACAAACCTCGTGCCAAGGTTAGTCTCAAAATACAATATCCAATCTCATTGTAGGGTGCTTTAATCTGATATCCAATATCTTTATCACGAGCTTGCATAAACCGACTGAGTCCTTTGTGCCTGCTTCTTATTGTTTCATTGTGGTTACATGAGCTTGTAGCGGTAAATAAATCCCTAAAATAAATAGCTCTGTAAGTTTTCGACATTGGATGCTGACCATATGTTTTAGTGGACTCATCTAGCTGAAGGCGCTCGGTCAGGCATCCTCACCAGATCACGTGTGGTAACGCCGTGCTCAACATCAACCGCAATCGCTAGCCAGATTAGATCAGAGAATTCCGATATATTGGTCGTCGCCAAATATACTCTTCCGATCTCCTCGACTCTGTCTTTTGATTTCTCTGGGCGGCAACGAAATACGTTAGAAGGTGTTACTGGTAGAAGCAGTGTCAAACACTGAATACCGGTGACATCATCAAGCTGATGAAAACTATTTTTTTCTTCACATTCATTTCCTGATTTTCAGATTTCAGATTTTTGTATTGAAGACAGAAGGCCTACGTCTTGAGTTACTCCTTCTCTATTAAGCTTCTGAGAGTGCCTAGTCTTCACTTGAAAGAGCCAATTAAAGAATATGAACACTACTTCTTCGGATTACAGGTTCGAGTGACTGATAACTCGATATTTTGTGCTCCATCCGGTACGCACTCTAAGTTATCCTGATCTGGTAGAAAGAAAGTATGTGTCGAATCCAAAATCACCTCTTAGCATTTTTTAAATCAAAATCTGATCATATCTTCATTTGCGGCAGGAAAAAATATATTGGTCCACCTTGTCAAGCTTTTCTTAGTATGATAAATCCTAGAGTTCTGGAACTGATCAAGTGGCTGCCTTCCGTTATTTTTCAAGATGTTCGAGCAACCTTTTAAACAGGAAATTTTAGCCTGAACGCACTTTTAAGGTTTGAAGCTGACAAACGTTGTGAATACTGTAGTGAACATATTAGTATATAACTGGGTTAATGTGCATCATAAAGCCCGTAGCGGTAAGTAAATCCACAAAGTCAATAGCTCTTGAAGTCTTCAACATTTGATGCTGACCGCATTAGTTTTGACGAACTCACCTAGATGAAGGCGATTGGTCGTGCGTCCACACCAAATCACGAGTGGGAACGACGTGCTCCACACTTACAATCAGTAGTCAGCTTAGACAGACCGAGTGATGTATTGAATAACACAGTCAGTGATGCAACAATACATTTTGAAATTAATTTTCAGATTTTAGAGTCTAGTTTGGGGTCCAAAGTTTCAAGGCTTTTAAGTACATAGTCTCGATCTAAATTTATTGTGAGAAGACGATGTTTCGGCTTTATATTTGGGTTTAATTTTCCGTCTAGAAGATGCTGCTTAGTGAAAACTCTCTTGTAATAGTTTGCCATAGCCTCTACTTTTACCTGATCATATTCCATCATTTTAGCTTCTTTCCCTTTCGTAATTAAATTGAGAATCCAGTGCTCGGTTATTATTCTGCAATTTATGTACGGAAATACTCTCTTAGGTTGCATCAATACAAATGAGGCCGACTGCATTTCATGTGTTCACTGAGCTTCATAAATTGTGATTATACGCTAATTTCTTACCGACCTGTGACGTTCCATTGTACTTGCTGTGTCAAGGCTGATGGTGATGTTTCGACATTTCTTCTTTTGTCTTGGTAAACGCCGTATATCACAGCCTATCCAGGGATGGCCGTGCTTCTTATTGTTCGGGACTGTCCAGGGTATATATGGTTGAGTTACTTGACTGTGTAACTGCCTGAAATGAGTCCATGCCTCTTCTACTGATGCATCTGAGACAATTATCTAGTTCTCAGTCGGTGCTGCAGAGTTTACCACCTCGATGTCTGCCATCTATATATTAGGATGGGATGACGTAACTGTTTGACAGGCCATCTCTGCCATGAGCTTGGATAAGATGACTGCGTGATCCCTTCTCTCTAGAGGTGGGGGTAAAGTCATTTGACCGGGATCATCAACTTGTATGAAGACTAGGTCCAAGAGAGACGAGGGTCTTTGTATTTCATATTTTGTGTGACCTCCAGTGTGCTGTAATAAAGCTAGGGCGATTGTAGTTCCTAACAATTTGCAATGAAGTGACGTTGTCGATGACCCTGCTTCTAAGTTTACCTAGTTTATATACGGTCCTATTATAAGGCTTGCACCTCTACTTCACCAGGACGTAAGTTTTCTTAGTAGGGGGTCATCTACTATGCATTCTGGACTGCGGTATACTACAAATAATACAATATATTGCGTCTACATTTCAACCTGCAACTCACCAGTTCACACGTCTATAAATCATGTGCCACTGTCTCAACAGCTCGTGTGGTTAAGGTGCTTATGAGTACAGGACAAACCCTCTTCCCCTACGGTTTAGTCTATCAGCCATACTAGCTAAAAAATCAGTTAACCTTGTTTCTGGTAGGGAAATAACATTATAAGATCATGGTCTATATCAGATACTAGTACTAATACATAATAGACCTAATCCCAAAACTGTGAATTCATCATATGAGACTACCTAATCTATACAATTTCATATGGAACTCCTATCATTGTCAACATGGACTCGTCCTGTCGTAAGAATGTAGATAACTACGTTTTCTTTGGAACCGATAGATGTTATGGGTTAGGAGGCGGTACAACTGTCTGTGTCCGTTCAGACATTCAGGCGTGCAAATTTGGGGATATAGCTCTTGATGTTATAGACGACTGAATTTGAATTACTGTAAACTGAGGACCTCAAAATTATCTACTGGTGGGATGCATATACAGACCACCTCATGAGGATACTAAGTTTGACAGATCACTAACAAACATATTTTCCATTGCTTTGCACCGACCGCAAATTTTTAAAATCATCGGAGGTGATTTTAATCGGCCAAAAATTACATGGGGTTTGACTCCGGTACTAGGTCGATATAACAAGCTAGTTGAAACACTAGAAATTTGTGGATGGGTTTAACAAGTTCAGAAGTCAACTAGGGGGAATAATATACTAGATTTATTGCTTAATATTAACACAGACTCAATCTCAGTGCATACCAATCATGATTTTTTTATGAGCGATCATAGAGTTGTGTTGAGTATTATTCATTCTTTAAACGCCAAAGTAACTGAACTCTAAAGGTCCAGTGATGTACCAGAGCAGACATTCTGATCAGCAAACCTGGAAACGGACTGAAATTCTTATTCAATGTTTACCATGGGATACTTATTTTACCACAAATAATGTTGACATCGCGCTTGCCAGTCAATACCACCACCCGATTTATTGCCTTGACTGCACCGCTCCAGTTATTTGTCATGTGGCTTATGATGCTAATAGGGGCCAGAATACTTTTAAAACTTTTAAAAGAAAGCTTAGGAAGTTAAAACGTCGCTACTACGGGCATACTGACGTGTATGCACTTCAGAGTACACTTAACTTAATCGACAGAAATGCTTCATCTAAACGTAAGTATTTTAGGAATATGGAAAACAAAGCCCCAAGGTATTGAAAGCCTAGAACTATCAATACTTCGGCTTTTTAAATCCCATTTGAAGGCAAATTCTCTTGGCACGACCAAATTCTTCATAGTTAACGGAAACATTGTTGACGACCCTGATATTATTTGAGAAAAATTCAGCAAGCACTTCTCGCAAAGCTACAAAACTGGAACTGGAAACTCTATCAATACATTTCCAATGCTGACATCCAGACACCTATCGAAAATTGAGTTTACACCCTCCAACACCAAGCAGGCCATAGCTGCCCTGAAAAAGTCTTATGATGAGGGACCTGACGGGATCTCTTGATCATTTGTGAAATATGGTAGTAGATAATGCCAACTATTTTGTTTGAAACTTGTCTATCTATCTATGGAATATGAGATCTATCCATCTGTATGGAAAACATCTCTTGTCATCCCTAGATTCAAATCAGTTTCACGTAATGATATTGTTAACTACTGGTCAAATAATTTAACATCCGTGCTCTCAAGGACCATGGAAAAAATCACTATAACTGCACAAACATTTATTCTAGCGTCATATCTTACTACAATAATAAGTTATTTTTTCTTAGTTGTTTTCTATTTTATTTTATTTACTAATTTGACGATATTTACATAGCCATGTTATCAATTAGTTGTTCCCACGTTCACTATTGTTAACTTTCTCTAAGTATTACTTGTTGAATGTAAAACTTTCCAGTAAATATGTACTCGGCTTTAAAGATCTTGTGGTTATGTACCAATATTACTACAACATTTAGGTTTTCTGTGTCCACCACGTTTTTTAGATTCGCCATTTTATTTATTAACCATTTGTACAACATACCTTTAATTCTGCGAAAGATTGCCCCGTGGCTTGAAGATAATTTTACTCGGAACTTTTATGATGTGAAAACACTTAAATGGAATGCTTTTTCTTAGATCCGGCGGCGTTTACTCATTACTACCTCTTCTGGTCGTCTCTTAAAACAATCAGCCAGGTTGAAATCCTCACAGACATATATTCGGGACCCAGTCTGTTTGTGTGAATTTTCAGTATTATGTTTCTTTCTTCAGCGGGAATAAAAGTACCTTTTAATAGGTGGCTTACCAGCGTACTTTTCTAATCAACTTTTTGTCCTATTCCATAAAGGTTATGAATGCTAACTCTTGCTACTTTTTCTTAAATTTCTTACTTATTAAGGACTAAATGTGGCTTAGATCGTGTTCAAATCTGGCCTTTGTTTTTGTTTCGGAAAACTATCTGAACTTATTAAAATTGACTGACCTCTCGGCTAGACCTGTTTTGGCAAGCTGTGATGTTTTGATCACAAACTCTTCTTATCTCTGTAGTTCTATTGAGCGTCAAACGTGAAGGTCTCAATATATTCCCTCATATTTCTAGGTGCTAATGTAAGTCAATCATTGGCTTTATTTTATTTCCTGGTCATATCATATACAACGTTCAGGCTTTGCTCTTGCATAATCTGTTTTGT